GAACTTGGACATCATGATGGCTTGGTTGGCGTGGGCTGCTGGGAAAAAATACGTATCCATGGCAACGTAGTCCAAAAACCCTGGAGGGAAATCCCATAGTCCTCTTGTGTTTCACCAACTTCTGCATCCCGATGACCGTAATCAGATCCAGGATCAGCGCTGCACACACACAGAGAAACGAGGTCAAGTCAAGGAGAACATCTGGGATTTTCTCTGTTTTAGTATTTTCTCACCAACCCCGCCCAGAGACCAGCAGCACCAGTGAATGTGGCGTCCTCACCGTAATCCGAGTCCAGCTCATCGCTCTGTGCCGTAAACCTCCACTGTTGTCCACCAGCTATTAGACCCCTACTTCATATATTGTTGGGCGCTTTAATTTATAACAGTCTTATCTTTTATTCACTTATATTTTTTGTGTGAAATAATTTAAAAGCTTATCAAATACATGTAGTACAGTAAAGTACAATATCTGTCCCTGAACTGTAGTGAAGACCCGTGTAGAAAGCAGCAGAAAATGGAAATACTCAAAGTACAAGTACCTCAAAATTGTGCTGAAGTAGAGCAGCTGAGTAAATATTTACTCTCCACATCTGGTTAAGAGACAGTTCAGTTCAAACAGATGAAAATAGTTTTTATTCACTGAAAGAAATCAGATGCATAGTTTCAACTTTTCTCTCATAAACTCGTTTGTTTTTCTGTCTGAACATGATTCTCACAGCAGAATCCATTTCAGAAGTTCAGACAGAAAACTGTTGGCTTCTACCAAGTTTCCTCTGACGTGCTTCTGCTCCTATGGCCATGATTCGCTGTCTGAGCGTCCCTCCCTCTGTCATCTCTGACCTTCAGTTCAACCCTGTTGATTAGTTTGTCAGCTGTTCACATCCGGTGAGTGAAAGCATACTTTCTACAGCCAGAACCAGATTTTCCCAAATGTGTCGGTGTCATTTCAAACATTTCTAACACTCTTTGTCAGCAGAGAACCTGAGTTTCAGTACTTCATGAAATATAATCGTCTTTCTATGAAACTTACAGAACTTTGCATGAATAAAATAGTTTGCAGCTAGAAAACTTATTTAAATCAAACTATTTGTCAAAACCAAAAGTTTTGAGGTTTGATCAAACAAGCAGACACACCAGACTTTCATTAGCAATGACATAAGCCCCTTTTCCATCACCTGGTACTGGCTCGACTCGACTCTACTCACTTTTGGTACCAGGTGCTTCGTTGTCCACTGCAGGTAGTCCTCCTCAGTGCAGCTGACTGTCACAGCAAAACTGAAACCGCTGGCCCATGGTGGGGGCAGGCCAGGCTCATAGCTGTTATAATTTTCAACCTAGGACTCTTATTATGCCATTTTATTAAGTTTTTATAGTTTTAACGTCTAGTTTTTGAATATATGGTCAATCTATCCAAGTAATGCCAGTTACAGATTTCCTCTAATGTTTTTGGGGATGTGATGACCCACTGACATGCTAGCTAGCTAGTTAGCTAGCTCTTCTTAGCAGGCATAGCCATTTTGTTTATATCATCACATTCAGTAACCTGTGGGCTACGTGATAAGATGTATGTGTGGTGGTTTACGTAAGATAGTGGTTTTATAGTAACAGCCTCTGTCACCATAAATGTTACACTTTGTAACAGTCATGACAGAGAAGTGGCAGCTATTACTATGAACGAACGAAGAACGACAGACTGGTGTCATCACATGTAAACATCCGGGTTCATCTTGTCAAGATAGCCGTGTAGTAGTGATGACCAATCGGCAGTCTGCAGTGTTTACATGTCACTGTTTGGTATCATCTCAGCTCGCTTGGAACCCCAAGGGGGGGCAACACCAAAAATAGTACCAGGTAGTACCCGCAACTTTACTGATGGAAAAACAAATAAGGCGAGTAGAGTCGAGTCAAGTGAGCCAGCACCAGGTGCTGAGAAAGGGGCTGTTAATAAGCATCGTCTGCTCTGACTCAGTTTTCAGGACACATGACCGAACAAAGCAGCGGCACTGAAACAGACATCATCATCGGAAACCAAGGTCCACTTGCTACCTTCTCCCAGAGCTTTCAACCACCCACTATAGTTTTACTTGACAAAAACATAAACATTTAGTCTAGGTTTAGTAGACAAAAAAGTAAAGATACAGTATAGACCAGTCCAAACTGGTACTAAACCAGTAGAGTCCAGCGCATGGTGCCAATAGAGATGAGGGTCTGGCAGGTAGCAGAGTCCAGCCAAACAGATTCCACCAGATTGAAGTGCAGGAAGCCGAGAGCGAATCCACAGAAGACATCTGACAGATGATGTTTACCCAGCAGCACCCGGGACACGCGCGCCAGGAAAGCCCACAG